TATGGAGATGAAATCTAGTTTATGGGTGCCTCCTGGTGTTCAATTCAATTTTGGATCCTTATAGACATCTCTCCTAAAGGTTGGTTGAATAACTTTAATTGTGGATATTTATAGATCTGTTATTCTATAGGGTAGAATAAGGTAGTGAAGCAATAAAGAACAGAATAGATTGTCCCAAAGGTGCTTTTTTTTTCAAGAGGCAACTGGACTTTCTGGTTTTTCTTTGAAGACGTTTCGCTTCTCATCCAAGAAGTTTCTTCGGCTCTGACAGGATAGTGGGGAATGGAAGGGTTTATACTCCCTGGGTCTTTCATTGAGGAGTTGGAGCTGTGCTTTCTGCAGGATGTTTTCTTTATACAAGGAGTATAAACCCTTCCATTCCCCACTATCCTGTCAGTGTCTTTATGGAGATTTTCAGTCATCCAAATCATAGTTGTCCCAAAGGTGATTTTTTTTTCAAGAGGCAACTGGACTTTCTGGTTTTTCTTTGAAGACGGTTCGCTTCTCATCCAAGAAGCTTCTTCGGCTCTGACTGGATGGTGGGGAATGGAAGGATTTATACTCCTTGTATAAAGAAAACATCCTGCAGAAAGCACAGCTCCAACTCCTCAATGAAAGACCCAGGGAGTATAAACCCTTCCATTCCCCACTATCCAGTTAGAGCCGAAGAAGCTTCTTGGATGAAAAGTGAAACGTCTTCAAAAGAAAAAAAAAAGTCCAGTTGCCTCCTGGGGGGAAAAAAAAGCACCTTTGGGACAACATTTTAAGATGCCTGCATTTCAATTTACACATCTGCAGGGTTAACTGAATAGATTAGATCAGATCAGATCAGATCAGAATAGAATAAGAATAGAACAGAACGTAGCATAGCGTAGCATAGAATAACAGAGCTGGAAGGGACCTTGGAGGTCTTCTAGTCCAACCCCCTGCCTAGGCAGGAAACCCTACACTACTTCGGACAAATGGTTATCCAACATCTTCTTTAAAAACTTCCAGTGTCCTTTTTCTTCACCTTCTGCATTGCACTGCCTGCACGCGAGGTAACTGTTCTCACGTCACTAGTCCCTCAGGCAGGCAGGCAGGCAGGCAGGCAAGCGGAAGAGCAGCACAATCCCGTCCAAAAAGAACGATACCAACCACAGCAGAGACAACTGCCTTGCAAGGGGCCAGGTTCAATCCAGCCCTGCCTCCCTCCCCGGGCTGACGTCACTTCCTGCTGGGGAGGCTCCGAGGCTGGGTCTGTCCCGTCCTTCGGGCGTTGGGGAGCGGAGAAAGAGGGAAGGAGGTGGAGGGGTGGGGTGGGGGTGAGGTGAGCAGGCCGGGCAGCGATGGTGGGGCTGAAAAGGGCTGGAGGGCTGAGGGGGAGCCAGGAGGAGGAGCAGCAGCTGCCTGGATCCCCCCTGGACCAGCCCTACGGGTGAGTAGGAAGAAGGCTGGAGGGTTTGTGGCCGCTCCACAATTGTCTTTGTGTGTCCCTTTCTTGCATTGGATTCAGGTCCAGGGAAAGGAGCCCCTTCCCTCTGATAGACTGTCTTAGCATCTGGAGGCTTGTGTGCTTTAATAGCGCAGAGGGCTCTGAAGTCTTGATTGCAAAAATGCAGCCTATCCAGGATCTTGAAGGTTGGGAAGGCAACAGCTGTCACCCGCCCGCCACCTTATTTTGGGTGATGTGTTTCCTCCTAAAGGTGGAGGTTTCATTTTTGAGAGTTAAAATTCTCAAGAGTTGATTTGAGAATTAAAATCCTCATTCAAGTCTATATTTTATTTAGACCAGAGCCTTAAACGACTCTCACAAATTCCTTGGCGGATGAGTCCCATGGATACATTACAAACATTGCTGGTTCTTTTGTCAACCTGCACTTGGGACGTCATCTTCGATCGTATTAGTGCTTTATGCTTTTTTGATATGTCAGCTATCTGAAGAGGTCTACTGAAAAAGGAAATCTATGATTTTATACGTAATAATGTATAAATATTAAAAATAATAAGTATTTTAATACAAGGGATAAGAATCATTGCATTATTTCCTGTCCATAATCTGATGGCATTCTAACATTTCACTTTTTAAACTTTTTTCCACCCTTATTTTTATTCAAAGATTGAGGAAATGGTCAGCCATCAGATGAAACCGTTTCCACCTACCTATGATGCAAACTTCCTGAGAATGATGAGTATTGTAGACCAATGCAATGTATTAACTTTCGGCATAGTCCTTATTATTTTCCTCCTTTATCCATTTTTGGGGGAATATTCATCATAACTATTAATTGGAAACTTTATTTATTTATTATTTATAAATTTTATAATTTTTTTACAAAACAAAATATATAAAACACCAACAGCCCAAGAGTCAAACCAATCTAGGCAAATTATAACTACATCGTGGATTTTAATAAACACTCAGGTGTCTATTCCCGCAAACCCAATCCATATCTTTAGAGCCTCTGTCCGTCCCATTCCCCCCCCACCCCCGCGGCCAAAAAAAAAACCTGGTTGGTGAGAGCCAATCTATTTTTAAAGAAGGAGCGGATTGCAAAATGTAAGGCTTCATTGCATATTCTATAGAAAGCAATGAACCAATGTAACTTGATGCCTTTTGACTCAAAAATAAAACCCACAACTTTCCTCAGTGCTTCCTCTCCAGAGTGGTCAGATTGCAACATTAACAAAATATTTTCTTGTACTTTGACTATTGGAGAAGCAGGTGGCTTGCACTGACCCAGGTGGTGGCCGTTTCCATTCTAAAAATAAAGTTAATACCAATATTTCCTCTTGTTAAGCAAACAGGCAGAATGACAAAACTGTGCAGGGAGTTTGTAACTTATAACCATAGTTCAGCCCGAAATTTCTGTGGCTAAGCAAGACAGTTAAGTGAGTTTTGTCTCATTTCACAACCTTTCTTGCCACAGTTGTTAAGTGAAACACACAGTTGTTAAATTAACAGGGTTGTGATCTGACCTCCCCGTTGATTTTGCTTGCCTGAAGGTCACAGAAGCTGATCACATGACCCTGGGAGCTGCAACGTTCATAAATATAATGGACTTGTGCAATGTTGCTGCAGGAAAAAGTTACAACAAAATCTGTGGGAGCTAGGTTTACTTAACTGTGCTACTAATTTAACAATTGCAGTGATTCACTTAACGGATGTAGCAAGAAAGGGCTTAATGGGGAAAACTCACTTAGCAAATGTCTTGCTTAGCAACAGAAATTTTGAGGTCAAATTGTGATTGAAAGTTGAGGACTACCTGTATAACTAGGCTTCATAGCCTGGGCCATCTTTTGTAGCCCTGGCATTGATTGAATTGCCAGTACTTAGGAAAGAGTGTGTCATGGATTAGAGTGCATTAGAGTGCACTACTGCAGGCTGCTTCTGCTGACTGCCGGCTGCCTGCAATTTGGCAGTTCAAATCTCACCAAGTTCAAGGTTGACTCACCCTTCTATCCTTCCAAGGTGGATAAAATGAGGACCCACATTGTTGGGGGCAATATGCTGACTCTATAAACTGCTTAGATAGGGCTGTAAAGCGCTGTGAAGCACTATATATGTCTAAGAGCTATTGCTATTGCTGGTTCATTGTTATCCCTTGGAAGATTCCAGCAATCAGCAGTTTCAAGATAAAAATATAGGCATGGAAAATGAGTGTAGATAAAAGCATTGTTCGTAACATCTCAATAGATCCTCCATGTTTAAGAGCAGCCTACCTCTAAAAACTATATGCCAGGAGAACGACAGGAGAGTTCTATATCTTCTCTTGTTTTTCCTGGTCACTGATGAAAATTGCTTAGGTCCAACTGGGATTTTTTAAATTTTATTTTATTATTATTTTTCCAGTTAGCTGCGCTGGCCCTTGAAGCATTTGCAAAAAGAGTTCTATAAAGAGTTAAACCTTTGATTTGGGGGTGTGTGTGCAATTGTGTCTCTTGCAGAAGGATTGAAGATTGCTTGCCCCCTCTGGCCACCCCTTCCGCTAAGAGGTTTTCTCCAGCCAAACGGAAGCAATATTACATTGACCAAGCCATCCGCAACTCAGACCTCATTCCCAAGGCTAAAGGGAAGAAGAGCCTCCAGCGCCTGGAGAACAGTAAGTGGTTGCTAGGCAGGCTTAGAAACCCTTTGGTGGCCAGTTGTTACCTCTTGATTACCTCTTAAATTGATCAAAATCCAGAGCAGGCTTTTCCAACTCAATGCCTTTTAAAAGATTGAACTATTAACTTGTATCAACCACAATTACGCTGGCTGGAGAATTCTGATAGTTTGGGCCCTAGCACTTTTCAGTGATAAAAGTAGCACAGACTTTTCCAAACTTTTTCCTTCATTACCCGAAACTGCTTTTTATCAAAAAGTCTTATTGAACTTTGAGGACAGGTAGTAAGTCCCTCCCTTCAGTACTGTCATAATGTCTAACGGTTGCTGAATGAATGGTTGTAATCCAAGGACTATCTGTGTTATAAAAACAGTATCATTGAATGATCTTTATCATTTCAACAAATTTCCATTGATAATTTCAGCAATTTAGTTTATTTTACTTTATTGTCATTGCCCCTCTTACAACAAAATTAAATGCCACCTTCAGTGTACATTATAACTATAAAAATACAAACACAAACACACACCTTTCACATTCTATATAATTGAACGGAAACCCCGATATTGCATTAATATTGCACTATACCGTAGAATTCAATATAGTTACTGCCTTGGGATAGAAGATGTTTTTCAGCCTATTTGCCCCTGTTTTTATTATCCTGTACCGTCTGCCAGGTGGTAATAAAGTCTGCCAGAAGTTCAAAAAAAAGGGTGCCCAGGATGAGATGGATCTTTAAGAACGTTTTGAACTTTCTCAAGGCAGCGGGAGCTATAAAGCTCTTCCAAAGAGGGGAGAGGGCAACCAATGATCCTCTGGGCAATGATGTTGACCCTCTGGAGTGCTGCGCTATCTGCAATTGGCAAATTTCCATCTTAGGAGGAGTACTCTGGCAGACTTTCAACTATATTTTAGTACACAAGTCATTACCTTCTTGTGATGGGTAATGAGTTTGTGTGTCAGTACTGAAAGAAACACCACTTTTACCCAATTTTGGATAATTGATCAGTGGTGAAGAGCTCTTCATTCAGGCCAGCAAAGGTTATTATCTTCCAGACTAGTTGGGACTAGCGGTTCTCTTATTTTTATATTAAAATATAAAGGATGGACAGCCATTTGCCTGGAATGGTATGAAGATGATTAGAATAGAATAAAATAAACAGAGTTGGAAGGGACCTTGGAGGTCTTCTAGTCCAACCCCCTGCCTAGGCAGGAAACCCTATACCACTTCAGACAAATGGTTATCCAACATCTTCTTTAAAAACTTCCAGTGTTGGAGCATCACAACCTCTGGAGGCATGAAGTCTTGAAGACCTCTAAGGTGCCTTCCATCCCTATTCTATGCCTGAATAGTCCAACCAAGTAGCTGCTAGGGCCAATCTGGCTTGGTGCTACCTGGGGCGTTGAGGAATTGATCATTGAGAACCAGGCTAAGGTGATGATGCTGAACTGGGCATCAGGAGAGCTGGGTTTCAATCCCACTTCAGCCACCAAAGCTGATTGGCTGACTTCGGGCCGGTCCCTCCTTCTTAGCCCAACCTATCTCACAGGGTGGTTGTTGGGAAAAATAGGAGAAAAGAGCACTTAGTGAGCAGTCTTAAATTTCTGTACAATACAGGTAGTCCTCAGCTTACAACTATTCATTTAACAGCTGTTTGAAGTGGCAACAAAAAAAGGGGGAATTACAACTGGTTCTTGCACTTGTAAGCTTCACAGCATCCCCCAAAGTCACGTGATCAAAATTTGGGCATTTGGAAACTGGCAAGTCATGTGATTGCCATGTGAGACCTTCCCAGCAGCTTCCAGTCTGGGAGAACCCAGATTTGCTTAATGATCCATTTAACAACTGCAGTGATTTGCTTAACAACCATAGCAAAAAAAAAGATCATAAAATCAGGTGAGATTCACTTAACTGCCTTGCTTAGCAACTGTGGTTCTAAGTGAAGGATTACCTGTAGTTAAACACTACTGGCAGCATGAAGTTGAATGTGCTATGCTGCCCACTGATGTCCCTAAAAGGTTCGCTACAGGTGGTCCTTGACGTACGACCACAATTGAACCCACAATGTATGTGTTCAGTGAGAATTTGTTGGTTTTACCCCGTTTTACAACATATCTTGCCACAGTTGTTAAGTGAATCACCACAGTTGATAAGTTAGTAACCTGGTTGTTAAGTGAATCTGGCTTTCCCAATGACTTTGTTTGTCAGAAGGTTGCAAAAGGTGACCACATGAGCCCGGGACGCTGCAACAGTCATAAGTATGAGCCAGTTGCAAGCATTGGAATTTTGATCACATGATCATGGGGATACTTCAAAGGTCATAACTGTGAAAAAGGGTCATAACTCATTTTTTTCAGTGCCGTTGTTACTTGGAATAGTCACTAAATAAACTGTTGCAAGTTGAGGATTACTTGTATTAAGGTATATGCATGAAGTTGCATATTTCATTATTAATTCTGTGTATTTCTAGCACGTTACCTAATGACCCTCCTTGAGCGGGATGACTGCACCAGTGAAGATGGAGATCTTGCCCATCCTGCCTCTCCCAGCATTTTTACTGAGGCCTGCAACAATGAGACTTATATGAAGGTAGGGCTCTATATATTTTTTTTCTTTAGATGATTCCTCTTCCTTGGAAACACACCATCTCGCTCCAAGCCCAGTTTTGCATTTTCTGTTCTTAAGTGACATCACTGGATGTGGTAGAAGTTGAAACGTAGCCGTGTTAAGCCATGAAACCAAAGGAAGCTGCTCCCAAAGGGATGGCACGAGAATAAAATAAGATGAAAATGGGACAGTATTATGCATGTCGAATCATGTCTGCATTACAAAGGATTATAGTTTATGAGTCCATGTTTTCACGGAGAAGGTTCTTTCCAATGTCTGCTAGAGGTCAGCAGTTGGGGATAAAGGGAGAATTGGAGTGGATTGGACCAAGCTTTGCTTCCCCTTTGGTTCCCCTAATGGGAAAAAGCTGTATAGAATAAAGAAAAGTTGTATTGTCTGTGGACCTGTACCATTTCCTCTTTCACTGAAAGCAAGATAGAGCATAGAATCATAGGGCTGGAAGGGACCTTGCTGGTCTTCTAGTTCAACCCAAGACCTTATATTATCCCAGTCAAGTGGATGTTCAGCCTGTATTTTAAAACCTCCAGTGGGGGAGCACTCACAACTTCGGGAGGCAAGCTATTCCACTGATTAATTGTTCTAACTGCCAGAAAATTGCTCCTTACTTGCCATTTAGAATAAAATAGAATATTTACCTCCAAATCCAAACTAAATACAATAAAGATACTAAATTACATGACATCGAAACAGAACCACATGAATTGGATAAAATTATTCAAAGCCCAGATAGAAAGATGATAGGGAGAATACGTATATAAATTCCTCCTGAAGTATAAAATGGAAGAGGAAATTGTGATAAAATGGGCACAGAACTTTGGCTATAATATT